AATAAAAAAGTTTAAGGGGTTTTTGGGGTTTTTCCTTTTGTATTAAAAGTGGCTTTAAATTTCAAAATTTTTAAAGGAGGTTATTCATTTTAAAAATTTTTTGGGTGATAGGGGATTTTAGAAGGTTTGAATTTTAAAAGGAAATTTAGGGCCTTTTTAAAAAAAGGGGTTTTTGGTTTTGTTGGGGGGAAAGGGGAGGGGGGAAAAAAAAAATTACCAGGCATTTTTTTTTTTGAGGTTTGGCAAAGAGTTTTAGGGGGGGAAGGATGTGGCAATTTTTCCCGGTCCCCGGGGGAAAATTTTAAAAAAATTTTTGTATTTTTTTAAAAATAGCTTTAATTTTTCCAAAATTTCCCTTGTTTTTTAAAAAAACCCCTCAAAAATCCCCCCCCCCCGGGGGAAAAAATTTTTTTGGGGTCCTTTAAACCCCCTTTTTTTTTTTTTCCCTTGTTTTTTTTCCCCCTTTTTTTTCCCTTTAAATTTTTTAAAAAAAAAAACTTCGGATTAAAACTGGGGGGAAATTATCCCTTTTTGGAAAAAATTTAACCCCTTTAAACCAAGGGGGCCCCCAGGGGTTTTATCTTTAACCATTAAAAAAACACTTAAAAAAATTTTCAAACAAATGCAATATGAAAAAAATAAAACCCTTTTTTTTAAAATGAATTTTCCCCCCCCTTTTTTGCAAAAAAAACCATAAAAATTGGGGAAAAAATTTTTTTGAAAAATTTTTTTGGGTTTTCCCCCCCCCTTCCGTTCAATTTTTTTCCGGTAAAGGGGAAAAGGGTTTTTTTAAAATAACCAAAAAAAATGTTTTAAAAAAACCCCAAAAAACCCAAAAAAAAAAAAAAACTTTTTTTTTAGACGGGGCCCCCCCTTCTCCTTATTGAATTTTCTTATTTTAAAAATTTTTTCTGATTTAATTTCTTAAATTTAAAGGAAAAATTCCCAAATTTTAAAAATTTTTCTCAATTTTTTGGGAAATTTTTTAAAATTCAAAAATTTTGGTTTTTTTTGGGGGAAAAAGGGGGAAATTTTTGGATTTTCCCAAAATAAAAAAAAAATTTTTTTTTTTTATTAAAGTTCGTTATTTTTGAAAAGGGGCCAAAAAAAATCCTTTGGAAAAAAGTGTCCCAAAAACCTTAATTTCCCCCAAAAAAGATTTTTCAAGTTTTTTTTTAAAAAACATTTTTTCAGTTTTTTTTGCTTTTTAAATTTTTAAAAATTTTTTTAAAAAGAGGAAAAAAATTTTCTTTAAAAACAGGGAAAAAGGAAGGGCAAAAAACTCATTTTTTCCCGGGGGGGCCACCCCCAAAAAGGGGAATGTTCCCAAAAAAATTGCATTAAAAATTATTTTTATTATATTTTGGGATGTTTTATTCTCCTTTTAGTTTTTACTTTTTTTCCCGCAAATTTTTTTAAATTTTTCTGGAAAGGTTAATTTTGTTTTCCCTGCACCTTCAAATTTAATTTTAAATTTAAAATATTTGGAACTGCTGTAAATTCCGTACTTTTTTAAAACACTTAAATTTTCAAATTTTTTTTTTTGAAAACTTTTAAAAATTCCTAAAATTTTCCCCCTTTTTGCTTTTAAAAAAATAAACCCCCCCCCCCAAAACCCCCCCCCCCCCCCCCCCCCCCTTTTAAAATTTTTCTACCCTATTCCCCTGTTTTTCCCCCCTTTTTCCTTTTTTCCCCCCCTCCCCCCATTCCTCCTACCTTTTAATTAAAAGGTATACCTTGGCCTTAAAAAAACCCCCCCTTTCTTTTTCTTTTAACCCTTTTTTCCCCAAAAATCTAAAACTTTTTAAACCCCCCAAAATTTAAAAAAAAAAAAACTTTTAAAAATAAAATTTTTTCCCCTTTTAATACACCAAAATTTAAATTTTGTGGAAATTAAAGGGTTTTTCCCGTAATTTAGCCCTGACAATTTTTGACCGGGGTTTTGCCCATTTTTGCCCCCTTTAAATTACCAAAAATTTAAAAATTTTTTCTATTTTCCCGGAAAACTCCTTTTTTTTGTAGTACAAAAACCCCCTTTTTAGATTTCCCAAAAACTGGTCAGTTTTCAATTTTCCAACCACAAATTAAAAATGTTAATTAATATTCCCGAAAAAAAAAGCCTTCCGGGTAAAAAAAATTTCCCCCATTAGCAGTCCCCGCCCCTTTTCATTTTTCCCCCCTTTTTTAATTTAAATTTCCCTTAAAAAAATAAAATTTTCCGTTAGCGACTGTTGTTTTAAAATTTGGAAAAAATAATCGGCCACTTGTGGGAAAAAAATTTGCCAACCGTTTCGGTTTTTTCCTGCAAGTTGTTTTTTTAAAATTTTAAAAAATTAAATTTTGTTTTTAAGGTCAATTTTTTATAATTTTTTTAAAAAACCCGTAAAATCATTAACTTTAAAGTTTTTTACTTCAAATGGGCCCCAACCCCAGTAAACTAAATCCCCCAAGAAATCAGGCAAAAAGGGTTTTAAAACCAAAAAAAAGGAAAGGGGGTTTTTTTTTTTAATTTTTTTTTTTCATTTATGTGTTCCCCCAAAATTTTTTTTCCCCGACACATGAAAAAGAAAATTTTTTTTAAAAGAGGTACCGCCCCACTAGATTTGGGGAGTTTTTTATATTTATGTGACCCCGGCCTGGAAGAGGGCCAAACCCAAAGGGGTTTGAGTTTTCCCCCAAAACTGACTACCAAAACCCCCCCTTTTTTTTTCCCCTATCGTTTTACACAACCATTTACCCACTTTTAAATTTTTTTTTCCCCAAAATTTTTTAATTTTATAAAATTTTTTAAAAAATTTTTTAATTATTCTTTTTTTGATTTTAATTTCAAATTTTTTTATTCCCAACTCAAATCCTATAACAAATTTTTTTAAAAAACCTAAGCTCCTTTTTTTTTTAAAAACCCCCCTTTTTTTTAACTTTTTTTCCCCAACCCCCCTAACCTAAAATTGATTTAAATGATTTTTCTTTCCAATTAAAATACTCTATTAAGCCCAATTTTGAAATTTTTAATTTTCCCCCAAATTGATCCCCTTTGATACCTTTATCCCTCATTGGCATTTTCCCTTTCCCACATCTACTTTTTAAAACAAAAAAAAACCCATTAAAAGGTTTTTTTTAAAAATTAACCTAACCCCCCATAACCTTTTTCCCCTTTAAAAAAAAAAATTTTTAAAAATTTTAAAATTTTTTAATAAATAAAAACCATTTTTTTGATATTTTTAAAGGTTCTCAATTTTTTTTTTCACAATTTTAAAAAACGCAGGGGAAATTTGGGGAAAAACAAAGAATCAAAATTAACCCCCTTTCTTGACAAAAAAAATTTTTTAAAAAAGTGGATTTAAAAAAAAATTAAAAATTATTTCAACATAGAGATGATTTTGATTGGTTTTAGCACTGGAAATGGCTTGAAACTGAGCTCAAAGTAGCAGAAATGTTAAATTTTTGCCGATATTCAAGAGTAAACAAACGACCTCACACATCTAATACACGTCAGCTGGTGGGTCTAATATACATTCACAAATATGGTGATGATATTTATACAATTATTACAATATTGCATAACAGTAAATCTTCTATTTTTTGGTGTGAATAAAAATTCATTATGTGAATAAAAAATCAAAATGTAATTTATTTGTCAAGCCTCAAAACATAACTAATGAACAGAGGAAATGTTAGTTTAGTGCCAGGAATGCCTACATTGTTCATTCTGGACCCTCTTTTGAAATTGGAATATTTTGAACTTTGTGTTAAATTGGCCAAATTAACAATTTCCGATCACTTTATTTTGTAGTTGAAACAGTTGACTTGGTGATTTCTTGTGCTCAATCGATAGAATAGAAGTAATACTAGTGAAATAGCTAAGAATTTGGTTGATTGGAATAATGTAATTGGCCTAAAATGGGAGTCAAAGTCGGCAAAATTGCCGATTCGTAAATATCGCTGAGACATCAAAATTCGCGAGAGCATAATTTCGTCAATTTTCCACCAAATTTCGTACTTTTTGTTTTATTACCTTCACAAAAAGATTCTCTACGATTTCATAAGAAAAAATAACAAATTTTTTTTTTGAAAATTCTTGGACACTGGTGCATGACTCCAGATTTGGGCCTTGGACCCTGAAAGGGTTAAAAATATGCAAAATATTACAATAAATAGAGAGATGTGCAAAAACATGATTTAATTGCATATTTAGACAGTTCTTGGCAGTTTGAAGCATTGTCAGACATACTTTAATGACAGATCACAGAAACTAAGAAAGAGGCAGAACCCAGAATTGGAGCTCACAGCTCACCTCCCTTTCTTGCAAACTCATATAAATAGGTAATTAAATTACAGTGGAAGTCTGACTTTATTCACATTTATATTACACATTAAATTACTTTCAACATTATCTCTACACTGTCAACTAATCTAGTCTGAATACTTTTATAGCCAGTAATTACGTAAGTGGGTAACCTATAAGCTAACTTACACTTAGGTACAATAATATTCCTTGCAGAGAAAAATTAATTATGCCAGATTTTAATCAAGAGTTTGACCTTGGAAGATTCAGTACCCTGCTGCGGAAAGATAAGTCTGCAGTGAAGTTATTTTTTTGTAAGTAAAAATTTAGCATTATTAAAAATTACTCCACACGTGTTGTAAAAGGCAACTAAAATGCCGGAGGCAAGGGGCTAGTAACCTCTTCTCCTGTATAAATTACTAAATTTAAAAAGAGAGACTTTCGTTTTTCTTTTGGGCCACATTGCCTTGGTGGGATACGGCTGGTTTGTTGAAAGAAGAAGAAGAAGAAGAAGAAGAAATTACTGTGATAATATTACTCCTGGCTCTGCCAAGAGCAAGAGATATAACTGCCTAAACAGCAAATGTAAAAAAAAAAATGTGCTTATATAACTGCTAAGTTCTTAGCAGTTATATAGGCACTGAGTTCTTTGCGGTTATATAGGCGGTAAGTTCTTAGCGGTTATATAGGCGCTAAGTTCTTAGTGGTTATATAGGCACAAGGAAGCTTCAACTAAAATATAACCAATTCATCTTCCTAGCTCCAAGGACTGTCATCATTTTGAGTGCATCTATAACAATCATCATAATATTTAAACTAATTAGGGTCCATTGATCATCATAATCAAGCAAGTTGGTTATCTAACATTTGTTTTCCATTTTTACTCCATGAAGAAATTATTTAATAGATTTTACACGCTAATTATCACATACGTATCTTAAACTAACCGTTTACGAGCTAGCTGGTCTTGATATTGGGATTTCTGCTGATCTAATTTTGATTGCTCTTGAAGTGTTTTTCTTCTTTCTTCCTGTTCAATTCTCTTTCCTTCAGCCTTAGCTGCCTCTATTCTTAACTGGAAGAAATACACTGCCTTTGATTCACATTTATAATTTAATTTCTTTACAAAATGATTTCATACTGTATATGTTTAACTGTACTGCACTGAATTACGTATTTCTAAAATAATTAAACTATTGACAGTTTGGAGGGACTTCTAAACTGTCGTATCTCAGTGCCTCTGCAAAGACAGTGATTATGTATGAGTGAGACGAAAGTGTTGAATGATGATGAAAGTATTTTCTTTCTGGGGGTTTTCTTTCTTTTTGGATCACCCTGCTTCGGTGGGAGACGGCCAACTTGTTGAAAAAAAAAAATTATTTTAGAAATAATTCAGTACAATATACAGTGGACCCTCGACCAACGATGGCATCGATGAACGATAAATCCGACTAGTGATACATTTTAACGCAAATTTTTTGCCTCGACTAGCGCTAAAAAACTCGACCAACACTATTTGTTCTGTCAGACGCGTCCACTTCTGGCCAGTGTTTACAAGCCAGCCAGCCACCGCGGTCGCTTCCAAGCATACAATCGGAACATTTCATGTTATCACAGCCTTTTTAGTGAATGCACCTGCAAAATAAGTCACCATGGGCCCCAAGAAATCTTCTAGTGCCAACCCTACAGCAAAAAGGGTGAGAATTACTATGGATATGAAGAAAGAGATCATTGCTAAGTATGAAAGTGGAGTGCGTGTCTCCGAGCTGGCCAGGTTGTACACAAAACCCCAATCAACCATCGCTACTATTATGGCCAAGAAAACAGCAATGAAGGAAGCTGTTCTTGCCAAAGGTGCAACTATGTTTTCGAAACTGAGATCTGATGTTGAGAGACTGTTATTGGTGTGGATAAACGAAAAACAGATAGCAGGAGATAGCATCTCTCAAGCGATCATATGTGAAAAGGCTAGGAAGTTGCATGACGATTTAATGAAAAAAATGCCAGCAACTAGTGGTGATGTGAGTGAATTTAAGGCCAGCAAAGGTTGGTTTGAGAGATTTAAAGGGAAGGGAAGTAACCCCAGAAAAGGACTTGCCACCTCAAGTCCTAATGGAAGGGGATTCCCCTTCTAAACACTAAGACCATCAACACTCTCCCCTCCTCCCATCCCAACAATCATCACCAGATCTTCAATAAAGGTAAGTGTCATGTAACTGTGCATGTCTTCTTCAGTTTGTGTGTATTAAAATTAATATTTCATGTGGTAAAAACAATTTTTTTTTTCATACTTTGGGGTGTCCTACACGGATTAATTTGATTTCCATTATTTCTTATGGGGAAAATTAACTTGACTAACGATAATTTTGACTAACGATGAGCTCTCAGGAACAGATTAATAGCGTTAGTCGAGGGTCCACTCTATATATATTAAAAAAAAAAAAAAAAAATGACACCATGGATTTCAAAATAAATATAAAGGCCCTGGAAGTAGTTATCTCATGAGAGCTTACTGAACATGATGAAGTACTGATCAAAACTGTTAGACAGATTATCTGTCTGACATGGGGAAGCAGAACAGAATCCTTCAGTAAGCCATGTGTGCTTCAGTGGGATATGGCTGATACATTAAAAAAAAAAAAAAATGGTTATGCCAAGACAATTCTACTTTTTTATGCAGATTATATATTCCAAAATACTTTTTTGCTTAACACACTATCCATCTTCCACCAAGGTAGGATGACCCAAAAAACTGATGAAAACACTTTCACCATCCTCCATTCACTGTCTTGTCCTCCAAACTGCAACATTCCCACCCCTCCTACAAGAGGATGGGTAGGGCATCTCTACACTCACAAGTCTATTTTATGCATTTTAATAGGTCTGATTTAATTACTGAGACACATTAAACCATGACCAATCATTGCTGGTAACATTTTATTATCTAGGTAATAGTGTAAATCTATTTTTTTGTGATTATGAATTCAAAATGAAAATCAAGTATAATATATGAGAAGTCTGGGAACATGATTAATGAACAGAGGAAATGCTGTTCTAGTACCAGGAATGTTTACATTGTTTATTTTCATTCTATTTTTAAACTGGTATTTTTTAGTCGTGTAAAATTGTTCAAATTACCGACTTCTATGCACTTTATAGGGTAGTTAAATGGACAGTTTCTTGTGGTCAATCAATAGAATGGAAGGAATATTAACTAAATAGTGAAAAATTTGGTCAAAATGGAGTAATGGAATTGCCTTAAAATAGGACTCAAAGTTAGAGAAATCACAGATGCATAAATTGCATCCAGTCCAATAAATTTGCACCTGTAATTCTGAAAGTTTTCCATCAAGCTGTGTACTTTTGGTGTCATTACCTTCAGAAAAAATTCTCTACAATTTCAGAAGAAAAAATAGTTAACTTACCAAAAAAAAGGTGGACACTAGGAGCAATATTAATTTTGGGGGTCTGGACAGTGGAAGGATTAAATAACCTACTACCTATTCCATATACTTACATCTACTACATTACTTCCCTGTAAATAATTCACTTTAAGCCAGTAAGTAGTCAAGCCAATAAGACAAAAAATAACCTTGAACTTATATTCACAAACATCGATGCTCTTGTACGATATATAACAGTGGTGAAAACAGTAAATTTAGACCACAATGTAGTCAAATTCAAACCTGTTGTGCACAGGTCTTGAGCAGTAAAGCATAGTGGGAACAAGAAGCACAGGACAAACAATGGATGAAAACTTAACAAGGTTTGAAGATACATTGGAATTATCAAACAGGGATTTGTTTTTCTGTTTATGGCTATGCATTCAGGCATGTTGCTTTTCAAATTTCTTGAATCAAGAGTCCTAACCAGCATCAAGGCTAAATTTGTAAAAAGTTTAATATTTGACAACAAAAATTTAATATTTAAATATGCATAACTTGAATATAAATTTAAGCAACTATGGTATACTGTACTTACAAGTAAATATCATAGTTATTTGATATGTTTGTTGGAGGTAAAAATTTTTAAAATAATAATACCCCTTATCTTTCCATAAATGTTTATTCAATAGTAAAAGTAAACTATTAGCTTGAACTCTCTTGTATACACCAAACTTTATTACACTTCAACAGTAGTGGCAAACCTTTAGCTCATACTTTTTCACATACACTAAACTTAATTTTTTAAGTTTAGCATATGTTTAATTGTTTAAACATACACTCAAGCTTAATTCTTTAAACTTTTGAACTGAACTAAATTTAAAACTGACCTCTATTTCCTTAGCAGCTTCTAAAAGTTCCTTTTGCTTTGTTTCTTCCTGAATTTTTGTCAGCTCCAAAGCTTCTTTAGCATACTCTGAAAAGTGCATATATTTATAAGGTTAGTCGAACCACTGATTATTATATTCATGGGGAAGTGCTAAACCCCCTTGGGTCATACAGCTTTGGAAGAATGAGAGAAGTAGATTACCTCTAAACGATTTCGGGAATCAATGTCCGTGGCCTGGTCCAGGGTCAGGCCTCCTGGTTGATGGCCTGATCAAACTGTAGATGATGGTCACTGGTTTGACCCAAGTAAAGAGAGGGTAACTCTAATTCCTTGGACCAAGAGTCCTTTCCCAGGATCAAGGCACTCCCTTAGAAGGATGCAATTAACCAAGGAAGTATTATCACCCTGTCATAGGTGCAAAATATATATGTACTTGCTAAAACATTTATACTCTGGCAGTATAGTTGGTTATTTTCTTGTGCAGAATGCATATATAAGATAACAGGAAAATCCTACACATTTTTACTAACACTGAGTATACAACTTGTAGGTAGTAGGTTGGTAGACAGCAACCGCCCAGGGAGGTACTACTGTCCTGCCAAGTGAGTGTAAAACGAAAGCCTGTAATTGTTTTACATGATGGTAGGATTGCTGGTGTCCTTTTTTCTGTCTCATGAACATGCAAGATTTCAGGTATGTCTTGCTACTTCTACTTACACTTAGGTCACACTACACATACATGAACAAGCACATATATACACACCCTTCTGGGTTTTCTTCTATTTTCTTTCTAGTTCTTATTCTTGTTTATTTCCTTATATCTCCATGGGGAAGTGGAACAGAATTCTTCTTCCGTAAGCAATGCGTGTTGTAAGAGGCGACTAAAATGCCAGGAGCAAGGGGCTAGTAACCTCTTCTCCTGTATATATTACTAAATGTAAAAGGAGAAAATTTTGTTTTTCCTTTTGGGCCACCCCGCCTCGGTGGGATGCGGCCGGTGTGTTGAAAGAAAGAAAAGAGTATACAACTGTACCTTTACTTTTTGTATGTTTCTTAATAGTTCTCATCCCTGAAATATTTCCTTTTCAACTGAGGAGGCCTAGTACTAGACCAGGCTGGGAAAGGGGGTGATGATTCACAGAGCAATTACCCGATAATACATCATGTATTTTAAGTTAAAGCAGCCATGTATCAGACCTACTATACTGTGCCATTAAAAATTAGCAATAACAAGTATCAAATCTCTAATTTTCAATTTGCTACTTTTTCTATAAACTGGAGAATAAAGATTGCTACCATCAAAAATTTTTGTAATTTGTATCTCTACAGTAATGATACTAAGAAAATTATTGAAAGTAAGAACTGCTACTATTTTAATATGATATATGGCATAATGCCCACAGCTTCACTGGAAGCAAGTATATGCAACCAAATTCCTAAACAATTATAAAATATCGGTGTATATCTGTCTGTTATTTTAACTGGTCAATAGGTTAGCCAATTACTTTTACAGTATTAGAGATGTAAGACAATGTTAAAAATACTTGGATATATTTCAGCCCTGCCATTACTTTTCATTCTGGAAGACTATACACTAAGTGAACATAGCAGTCAATTTGTAAAGATATTTTCAAAAACATCACAAACTAAGGGGTAGAACTATAGCCTGCATAGATGTAAGACATGAAATAATAGATATTTTTAACTACTGCATATACAGTCTCTCCTCACTTAGTGACGTACGTACTCATTTACCGATGACATGGACTGACGACGGGTTCTCTGACCAGTATGCATACCTAAATAATGTATATTAGAGCTGATTTCCTCTATTTTGCTTATTACAATATACTACAGTTAACATTTAAAAATATGCCAGAAATGTTATAAATGGTGCAGAGGTGACATTAAAATAATATCAAAGATGGTTGACACAAACCCACTACCATTGTAGTATGCTCCTCACTTAGCAATGAATTCGTTTACTGACGTGGTCTTAGGAACAGAACTCTGTCGTTAAGTGAAGAGAGGCCGTATTTGAGAAAAGTGACTAAAACCAGATTATTTAAACAAGGTACAGTAATTAAAGCATACTTGAAGATTCTAGATCCTTGGCAGCTTTAGCAGCTCGCTCTAGAGCAGCAGAATCAAAACGATAAGCTTCCATTGCACTGCTTTTTCCCTTGCCATCTCCCGAGTCACCTGATCCATCAGGACCTCCTCCACCAACAGCACTAGCTGGTGGCACAAATTGTGAAAAGTCTTCTGGTCGCTGATTCATACCAAATAGCCATGACATGTTTGATCTGTCAAAATTCAAAGCTGTAATAATTTTCAAAACATTTTAGTATCAAAAATTTTCTATGAAGCTATATTTAGCACTGGCCTTTCCCACCAAGGAAAGGTGACCCAAAAATGAAAGGAAACACATTCACCGTCATTCATTCTATTGCTGTCTTACCAGAAGTGTGCTGACATCACAGTTCAGATGGTAACATCCTAACACCACTTTTAGAGTGCAGGCACTGTACTTACTATCTCCCTTCATAGCATGTCAGGTCATAAAAACCACTTGCCTCCACTCACTCTGAATTATATGACAATTCTACTGAGCTAGACTGTTATCATTATATACAGTGGACCCCTGGTTTATGATATTATTTCATTCCAGAAGTATGTTCAGGTGCCAGTACTGACCGAATTTGTTCCCATAAGGAATATTGTGAATTAGATTAATCCATTTCAGACCCCCAAACATACACATACAAACGCACTTACATAAATACACTTACATAATTGGTCGCATTGGGAGCTGATCATAAACCGGGGGTCCACTGTACTTCTGTCTGTTAATGTACAGATTGAGCTTTCATTGTGGCAACATTCTGCTCTATGTACATGATCTTTATCATATCATTAACTTGAAAATGATTTGCAGAGTGAAATGTTTTCAAAGTAAAATCTTCATCTGCACCTACATCTTTTTTCATTACTGTTGGGAGCACAGTTTTCTATCTGGAAAAGAATATACAGCAAGACCCCTGTATCAGCAGGTCCGGCATCCACGGTTTACCATGGCCTGAAAATAACCCTTAATTTTGCTTAATAATGGCCTCAAAGTGCAAAAGCAGAGATGGTGGAAGTTCTTCAAAGCCTAAGAGAAGCCATGAATTGCTTCCCATCAGTGAAAAAGTGATAATTCTCCACTTATCGTGTGCAATTTATCAATTAAACTTTATAATACGTATGCATGTTATTGAAAAATGACCTATATAGGGTCTGCTACTAATATCACTATTATTAATATTATTACATGATTTGTACTACCTAACTATTTTAAACCTAATTATGTATGTACCTAAGTGGATACGTGTCTAATTACATACCTAATATGTTCAAATGTACTGCTCAATTATAACCTATATCAATATAGAGTAAGAATTAGTATTAGGTTGCCTGAAGTGCCTAGGCACGATAGTGGCCTTCTTTGTAATCAAAATTTTATAACACGTAAACCACACTTTGTAAGCTTTACAACGAAATAAATATTGGAATTTGAATCCGTGTTTTCAGCATCCATGGCACATGCTTGGAACATATCTCTTGTGGATACGGAGGTCCTACTGTACTGTGGACAGCGTCCTGTGGCCTGGCAGGCAACGCTCTCGCTTCACACACTGAGTGTTCGTAGTTCGATCCCCAGCAAGGGTGGAAACACTGGGCATGTTTCCTTACACCTGCTGTCCCCGTTCACCTAGCAAGCAAGTGGACACCTGGATGTTAATGGACTGGTGTGGGTCGCATCCTGGGGGACAAGACTGAAGGACCCCAATGGAAAAAAGACTGACAGACCTCTTGGGTTATTCTGGGTGGCTAATCCTTCCCTGTGTTAAATATCCCAACAAATTTTATCTTACATCCTGCCTTACTCAGGGTTTGATCCTTGATTTTCATATGTGAGCCAAGCACACTACCACTATTCTTCAAGGTTTCTTGATAAAATATTTCCAGCACTTTACTTATGTCCAGGATATTTATTTAGGGCAGCCATGTTATGAAGTATTACACTCAGTTATTTAAATTACTCTTTATCAGAAGTGAATAATTTTACATAGTGAAAGGTTTATGATGCCTTAACCTAACTGCTGTCAAATTAGTAACATTGTCATACACAGGTTAAAATGTTTAGAATGGTCTTATGTATTACTGCATGAAGAATTTAACCCAAGGATATTCCAATAAGGTGTCTCGTAGCTTGACTGCTATCACACTCGGCTCACACACTAAGGTCCAGGCGCTGATCCCCGGTATGGGTGGAAATGTTAGGATGTGTTTCCTTAACCCTTAAACGGTCCAAACGTATATATACGTTCACGCGCGTAGTGCCCCAAACGTATATATACGTTTTCTGTCATTTATTCAACATTGCCACGATAAGCCAGAGTCACCTAGACATGAGAGAATGGGTGTGTGCACTCACTGTGTGCCATATTAAAATAATTGGGGATGCCTGGGTACCATATGCTCTTTTTTCCTTTAAAAAAAAAAATTTTTTCTCTCAAAAAATTTGGGGCGCTACGCGAGTGAACATATATATACGTTTGGACTGTTTAAGGGTTAAGATACCTGGGAGTTAGTCGATTGGTGTGGGTTGTATCCTTGGATAGAAAATGATCTAATGTGCCTGAAATGCTCTGCATAATAAGGGGCTTTCTATATACTACTAGTATGTTATTGATATCAGCTAGTCTTGCACATGTACTTGAAATAAAGATTATCATTATTATAATAAAGTCAAACAGTATAACAAGGGCCCCAGTAGAAATAAGTCACTTTGTCTAACTTTTTTTTGGGGTTATCCTGGAAGATAATTTACACTATGTATGATAATTATACTTACATATTTGTGCCTAAATAAATTTACTTAGCCTATTTTTCCAGTATATTAATTTCTAAGTTGTAATTGAGACATCAGCCTTGTTGATATCACTGACTACTTATTAAAGCTAACATAATAAAGGCAATTTTACATATTAAAAAACTTTACAGTGAACAAAAGTGATGTTAGTAAGTATATTTAGGCACAGGCAAACATAAGTACAATTATCATATGGGTTATCCAAAGCAATTTATATGTATGATAATTGTACTTATGTGTACCTGTGCCTAAATAAATTTACCCAGGATAACCACCCCAAAAAAAGTCAGACAAGTGACTTATTTCCCCTGGGGTTATTGGTGTAAGTGTATGTAGGTACAAGTATACAGAAGTACAATTATCATAATTGGTTTAACATGTGTATTATTATAATAATTATAACTAAGTGCTAAACCCACAAGGGTCAATGGAAATAAGTCACTATGACTTTTCTGGGTTATCCTAGGTAATCTACACATGCTGCTATGTATGAAAATTTATGTAACTGTATGTAAGTGTACCTGTACTTACAAATTTACTTCATCCCAACAAATTTTCCTTGTACCTTATGATAACTTCTATAGACACAAAATTAGGTAAAAATTTAACAACATTGTTATATATATGTATGAACTCAATTTAAGTCGTAGTATATGACAGGCAATGAATAAACAGAAAGATATATATGAATATATAAGTATTGAAGTAGAGCCAGCAGAGCCGGGCTTATATCAAGCAACTAGTGATTTTAACTGCTTACAATACAACAATATACTATTAATAATATTTTCTGGGTATTATTTCTGATAAATGGTGAGAACAAGGTACACAATATATATATGAAGTCACACCGTAATTGTTAGCTAAATGATGAAGAACCAAATATATGTTTGAGTAGCAGACGCCTCTCACACGTGAGATAGTGACGTCACTCTCACTCATTCTCTCTCTTTTAGGGTTTTACAAGGTGTCCCGTTGCTAACTTGGTAGCACATTCAGCTCACACATTAAGGTCCGCGGTTCGATCCCCGGTACGGGGGGAAACATTAGGATGTGTTTCCTTAAGACATTTGCTGTCCATGTAATATTAACACAATAATAGCAGTAACATTACCACAACACCAGTGGCAACATTACCACAGCACCAGTGGTAACATTACCACAACACCAGTGGTAACATTACAACACCAGTGGTAACATTACCACAACACCAGTGGTAACATTACCACAACACCAGTGGTAACATTACCACAACACCAGTGGCAACATTACAACACCAGTGGTAACATTACCACAACACCAGTGGTAACATTACCACAGCACCAGTGGCAACATTACCACAGCACCAGTGGTAACATTACAACACCAGTGGTAACATTACAACACCAGTGGTAACATTACCACAACACCAGTGGCAACATTACCACAGCACCAGTGGTAACATTACCACAGCACCAGTGGCAACATTACCACAACACCAGTGGCAACATTACCACAACACCAGTGGTAACATTACCACAACACCAGTGGCAACATTACCACAGCACCAGTGGTAACATTACCACAACACCAGTGGTAACATTACAACACCAGTGGTAACATTACCACAACACCAGTGGTAACATTACCACAACACCAGTGGTAACATTACCACAGCACCAGTGGCAACATTACCACAGCACCAGTGGTAACATTACAACACCAGTGGTAACATTACCACAGCACCAGTGGCAACATTACCACAACACCAGTGGTAACATTACCACACCAGTGGCAACATTACCACAGCACCAGTGGTAACATTACCACAACACCAGTGGTAACATTACCACAGCACCAGTGGTAACATTACCACAACACCAGTGGTAACATTACCACAACACCAGTGGTAACATTACCACAGCACCAGTGGCAACATTACCACAGCACCAGTGGTAACATTACAACACCAGTGGTAACATTACAACACCAGTGGTAACATTACCACAACACCAGTGGCAACATTACCACAGCACCAGTGGTAACATTACCACAGCACCAGTGGCAACATTACCACAACACCAGTGGCAACATTACCACAACACCAGTTTACCTGGAGTTTACCTGGAGAGAGTTCCGGGGGTCAACGCCCCCGCGGCCCGGTCTGAGACCAGGCCTCCTGGTGGATCAGAGCCTGATCAACCAGGCTGTTGCTGCTGGCTGCACGCAAACCAACATACGAGCCACAGCCCGGCTGATCCGGAACTGACTTTAGGTGCTTGTCCAGTGCCAGCTTGAAGACTGCCAGGGGTCTGTTGGTAATCCCCCTTATGTGTGCTGGGAGGCAGTTGAACAGTCTCGGGCCCCTGACACTTATTGTATGGTCTCTTAACGTGCTAGTGACACCCCTGCTTTTCATTGGGGGGATGGTGCATCGTCTGCCAAGTCTTTTGCTTTCGTAGTGGGTGATTTTCGTGTGCAAGTTCGGTACTAGTCCCTCTAGGATTTTCCAGGTGTATATAATCATGTATCTCTCCCTCCTGCGTTCCAGGGAATACAGGTTTAGGAACCTCAAGCGCTCCCAATAATTGAGGTGTTTTATCTCCGTTATGCGCGCCGTGAAAGTTCTCTGTACATTTTCTAGGTCGGCATTTCACCTGCCTTGAAAGGTGCTGTTAGTGTGCAGCAATATTCCAGCCTAGATAGAACAAGTGACCTGAAGAGTGTCATCATGGGCTTGGCCCCTAGTTTTGAAGGTTCTCATTATCCATCCTGTCATTTTTCTAGCAGATGCGATTGATACAATGTTATGGTCCTTGAAGGTGAGATCCTCCGACATATCACTCCCAGGTCTTTGACGTTGGTGTTTCGCTCTATTTTGTGGCCAGAATTTGTATTGTACTCTGATGAAGATTTAATTTCCTCATGTTTACCATATCTGAGTAATTGAAATTTCTCATCGTTGAACTTCATATTGTTTTCCTGCAGCCCACTGAAAGATTTGGTTGATGTCTGCCTGGAGCTTTGCAGTATCTGCAATGGAAGACACTGTCATGCAGATTCGGGTGTCATCTGCAAAGGAAGACACGGTGCTGTGGCTGACATCCTTGTCTATGTC